CTAGAAGCCTCAGCGAGGGCTGCGATTGCCAAACTGGTGACGGTTCTGACCTTGGTCTGTTCGTCGTTAAGGTTGGGACCAATGCAGTCCACCAATCCCTTGAGGTGTGGCAGAACAGCACAACCCATGAGGATGGGGATTTGCTGAACGATCTTGACACCGGTATGACGGGCTTGCCATGACTTCTTGCTTCGACAAACGGCTCGGAGGAACGGCAGAAGCGCAGGAATACCAAGTGCTGACGCGACCACGGCAAAAGCTCTGGCGGTGGTGTTTCGCACGTATTCATCCACGTGATCAATATCTGGTCTCATTGTGCTGATCATCGTGGCCAGACCAGCGGCTTTACTGAGGTTGGAGATAATCTCGCGACCTTCAACTCTAGCGTAGTAGTCTTGGTCGATGAGCAGCGGCTCGATAACAACGAGAATCTTGTGGACGAACGGTCGCACGAGATCATCTAGCTTGTAGAGAATACGGTCGATAACCTTGACGAGCAAATGGCGCTCCTGGTCCTCCAGCGTCTTCTCCATGAGCAAGGGGAGGATCTGATCGAAGAGCGGACCGGCTCCAAACTGCCTGGCATTGTCGGTGAGCTGTCTCAGGGCAGTTTTACGCATTGGTGGAGTACCGTTCTTGACTTTCAAGAGCAGTCTCATGATCTTTCTCTCCTTCATCTCTTCCACGCTGAGGCTGTTCTCATCAGAACCGTCGGTCAGCTTACCGAAATACGCCATATCCTCAGCCTTGAAGAATTGCAAATCGCCGATGCCTGGAATCTCGGCTGGCATGGGCTTGCCGCTGAGCCTGACGGAATCGGGGTCCTGCATCATGAACCCAGTCTGCGGTGCCGGCGTGGCCATAAGCTTGTGTGCGGGCGCGCGTATCGGAGCGTATCCCGGAGGCGGCTCGAGAACCTTGTATCCCTGATCCTCGCCGGGGAGGAGCATATCCAGTTCCTCGTCGCTCAAGGGCATGTTGCGGCCAGAGATGTCGGTTCCGAAGGTCGTAGGCAGGGCAGCACTGCCTGACTGTGAGGGGTGCATCGGTGTCGCAAGTCCCTGGTTTCCCATAGGCGTGGCGGATGGTGCCTGATCCCAACGAGATCGCTTCTTGGGCGCGTCTATCTCCATGCCGGCGGGAGCTGGTGTTTGATCCCATCGCGATCGCTTGGACTTGACAGGATCCGAAGGCTGGGGAGCAGCTTCATCATCAGCTGGCGTAGACGAGACGTCCCATCTCTTCTTTCGCTTGCGGCCTGCCGTAACAGCCTCGGTCGACCCAGCTTCAGCATTTTCCTTATCGCCGTCCTTCAAGGTCGCCGGGGCCACGTTGCCGTCCTCCTCTTCTAGACCCTCAGCCTTGGCCTGGATGGCGCGGCGGACGCGTTCTTCCTCCCTCTCCAGCTCGCGCAGCGCCATGACTTCGCGGTAGCTAGTGCCCTCCTCGGCGGCGCCGGCTTGGCGGTTAGCTGCGAAGGCATCGGCTCGAGTCGGGGTGAGGACACGATCGAATCGTCGCTTCTGGTAGTCGGTCTCGCGATCGGTGATTCGGTTGCTACGCTCGCCCCGGCCTGCCAAGGGGTCATCCTCTTCGACGCCATCACCACGGGCGAACTCGTCGATCATGGCACGTGAAGCCGTGTACTGGCCGACGAGGCGTCGCGTGTTGTCAGCGCCCTCCATCTCGTCGTCATCATCATCACCTGTAGGGATGGACGTGTTGTATCCCGCAAACTTGTCGACGCCATTGCTGCGATCGTACAGGTCGGTGTCGAAGCTCTCGGTGAGGCTCTGCTTGGTGTCGGCTCGCTGGTTGTCCGAGTTGCGCGAACCCTTTTTCGCGGCGGCAGCAGCGTTGCGCTCCGCCTGGAGCTTCCGGACGGTCTCGAAGTCTGCGTCAGACATTTTGAATTATGGGTATTGCTGCTTCATGTCACTTGTGAAGGTGCAAGTGGTCGAACGGCGATGACGGAGCTCATCAGTGATGGTTGTTTGTTGCTGATGAGGCTGGAAGGGGAGCAAAGAGTCGCAAGAGAGTTTGCAATTTCGCGGTACGTACACGACCAGGCAAAATTTCCGACGCCACCTGCACCCGAGCTTTACCCGAATCTAGAAGGTTGGGACCTCCAACCTAGAAAATCGCGACCACGAAGATGTTTAAAAACGACGGCACTTTTTATTTCTTTTATTGATTTTTATTCCGTTACTAGATGTGTCTTGTTTCGGGAATTGATACTGCTCAATAAAAATACTGCAAGTGACGTTGTTGGGGAACATAATATTTTTTTTCTTGACTTATTTCCACTTTAGATATAAGGATATGCGAAACGGTAAAATGGGAATCTGAATTTAATGAGACTGAGAATCGTGAGACTCATCACGCCGACTTCGAGATTCTCTTGACTGTTTGAGATCTCGTCTTCCTCCGCTTTGGCGATGACTCCAACGGCGCTGCCTCTGGCGTTTCCTCAACCTCGACCTTAATAGTCGTCTTCACAACTTTCCGTTTTCTGCCTAATAGCGGCGCATCTTCTTCAACCTTAACCTCCTTCTTCACTGTCATTGCCTCGCCCTCCTCTTTCTTAACGGTGCGCTCAGAGAATGTCTTCAAATCGGCCGTGAACAACACAGAATGAGCCCATCCAGCGTACTTGCCCCAGAGGCCTCTGAAGTGATCTCCAACTGCATCATACATGGTCTTGTTGAATGTCTTGGTCTTGACCTTCCCGAATTTGTAGTCCCGCTGAGCGATTTGCCACACATGAGTGTCGACCGGCACGGCCTCACCCCAGCCCAGACCCATTAAGCACACGCAGTCTGCCACCTTCGGCCCAACGCCGGACAGCTGGAGAAGCTGCTCGTGAGCTTCTTTGTATGTGCACTGTGCCAACTTGGCGCCTTCTGGCGTCTTCCGGTAACACGGGTTCTCCGGGTTGGTCAGGCTTTCGAACCAGCCCTTGGGTCGATCGTTCACCACGATTGATGCCGTCTGCGCAATGTACTTTGCCCTGTAACCGAAACCTAGCTCCCTCAGGTGAGCTTCTACTGAAGTTCCAGTGAGAGCTTCTGGCGTGGGGAAATCATGAAAGGCTTCATCTCCAACGTGACCAATAAGCGGGCCATAGTGTGTGCAAAGCTTGTGAACCTACAGCGCCGTTAGTGGAGATATTCGCTGGTGTAATCATTGAACATACCATCTGCGATATCCTCGAGATGTTATTGTTACTGCTGCAAATGAAGCAGATCAACGCTTCCCACGCATCCTGGCTTAACATGCGAACCCCTCCAAACTCCGGTGCTCTCTCGCGAAAGTTGGGGTCTACTTCAGACCACTGCTCGTAAAGGGACTTAAGATCCAATTTCAGACTCAAGTAATGTCGCAACAACTCCTCCGTATCATCGCCATCCGCTTCATCGTCAGCAACGGGCGGCGTCAGCGGGTAAACGGGCTTCTTTGGCCAGGTCACTTTGTAATGCAGGTGAGTCGGGTCTTGCTTCAGTGAGACGAGGCGCCCGTATAGCGTGCAGCACCTGTTTAAGGTTTTAGCTTGCAGACTTTTCTTTTGACAAAAATTTATGCTCACCATTCATCATTGATTTTGCGCCATCGAAAAGACTGGCCGCATCGTAGGGTTGTGTCGATGCAAAGCTCTGCCAGACTCAGGGGCAACTTTCGCCATTCACTGACCCGGGCCAGGGACATATTGGATGCCCAGTCTTAGGACTCGGTCGAGATGCGTTGTCGCGATTAATCAAAAAAACCATACGCAGCGACGAACAGAGACCAGACGGGTATCAAACGAGAATTGAGAGGGGGTCGGACGAGGTTCATGAACGAATGAATGTGGTTGTCATTCTCAGGTTGAGGCTGCTCTTTCCCCTCGACGGACTCGCCGACTCAGTGAAAGTGGCCAATCGCCACCCAGTCGCAAGTTCCATGTGTTCTCCACCAGCCACACCAATAAGCAACTTCAGCATGTATGACCACCATAATCAACGCCCGAATCACACTGTATGCACTGTATCATACACAGTACAGGCCCCCACACCTTCGCATTCAAGCTCGAGCATCACGACCTCACCGAGCGGCTCATCGAAACCAGCACTCAACCCAACCGCCCACCATGCTTTTCTTCAGGTATGCCCCTGCAACTCATCCAAACAAGAAAAGTTTCTGTCACCATTTGCGCCCCCAAAACCGTCAATATGCCGCCAGCTAACGCGCTGACCCCGCCAGTTTCTTCAAGACGCTCATAGACCATGAGGTCACCGTCGAGCTCAAGAACGACATCCAGATCCGCGGCACGCTCAAGAGTGTTGACCAGTATCTCAACATTAAACTAGATGACATTTCGGTCGTTGAGGAGCTGAAGTACCCGCACCTGGTCAGTCACCCTCTGTGGCCACTTCTCAGCCTCGGCCTTGTCTTTTCACTCTCAGTCATGCTGCCAGATGACAGACCCCCCCCTGCTAACATAGACTCGCAGAGCTCCGTCAAGAACGTTTTCATTCGTGGCTCCGTCGTGCGCTATGTCCATCTGCCCGCCAACCATGTAGATGTCCCTCTTCTGGAGGACGCGACGCGGAGAGGTGAGTCCGCATGATTTTCCCCGGTTCACCTGCAGCGGCCGCAAGGGTGGTACTAATACGTACTACAGAGGCTGCTGCGCAGTCAGCAAAGGCGAAATAAAAAGTCAGCACCGCTGGAGATGTAGTCTTGATGGAACCCAAGGAATTACGATTACGTGGTCGGGGCACTACAAAAGCCGGCCAACGAAAGATAGGACTAAAGGCTACGGCTTCAAATCCTCTTGGTATTTAAACATGGGTCATGGCGTCTGGGGTAATCCGACTAGATGATATGGACGCAGGAAGGGTAGAACAGCTTGATATCCAGCCGAGAACCCATGAAATGAACCACACTTCAAGGATTCGATTTGGGCGCAGATGCCTCGTGCTCATTATTCATTAAATTCTGTCTATGCACCGAGCGACTGATCACCACCAAACGCCGCCTCCGCGACTATCCTTTCCGTCCCAAAGCACAACGTCCTTAGATTGACTCTCATCACCTTCTAGGGGACGAATCAAACCACCTTTCCTTCGCTCAGCCAACCACTTGTCAGTCCAGCCCTTCATCCTCTTCCTGGACGTTTCGCTCCCGACATTGACCGTTGGCACTACCTTCTCAATCCGCAGTGCCATTAGAAACATTGCTAGCTCTCTGAAACTGCTGTGCTCACTATATGGCACCCCAAAGCACATAGCTTCCTTCGTGCTGCCACGCTGAGCAACAAAGTCCTTGGCCCCAAAACGTGACCTCCATGCCCTGCCCTGTAAAATCTGGGTAGTTGGAATGGTGCCGGGCTGCGTGTTGGCCGAGACCGATTTGCCTGCACCCTGTGGTCGATAGTTCCATCCAGAAGGGCGGAACCCAACGATTCGACTAAAGTGTGGCTTGTAGGAGTTGAGATAGTCCTGCAACGTCTCGGCTCGGATCTCCATGAGCATTTGCATATGGACCTGCGCTTCCAGGGGGTTGTCTGTCATTAGTGCCGTAAGCTCTGGGTCTCCAAGCTTGGAACAGATGCGTATTTTGGACTTGGAAGCAAATATCTTGCTGCCCAGGGCTTGGGCAATGGCTTTGCAGATGCGCTCCTTGCCGATCGAGTACGTGCCGCAGATGACGAGCAGGCGTTCCTTGGGGGCATTCTTCGGCTTGGCTTTGGTCGTTTCGCCATCTATCTTGGTTTTGCTGAAAAACTTGCTGACTGTGTCAGTACCTGCCTCCCTATTGACCCTGTCCCAGGCATTGTCCTCAGAATTCTGCTCAGGAGCTAGCGATGTGCAGAGTTCCGCGCATGCCCGAATAACGTCGTTCTGGGGAGGGAAAGAGTAGCGCGGGTTGAGATAGGTCGTATCGAGATAGCATACGTCAATTTTTTGTTGCCTAGTCTTTCCTGAGATCGAGTCTTGCACTTCTGGCTTGAGCAAGGGATGCGCAACTTGAGCTGGACAAGCTCTGAAGTCGCCACAATGCAAAATCCTCTGCTTTCTCGCGGACGGTCCCTTTCCCATTGTCTTTTCGAACAGAAATAGGGAGCTCCCAGGGCAGTGATTTGCGGAAATCATAGTGACAGTAACACCCTCGGTGCCAGGAACATCAACCGTCTCGTTGAATTCAAGTGGCCGAACCCAATGTGCGGCGACTCGCAACTGCATCTTCACGAGGTCCCCGGTAACTTTGCTGCAGTAGATAGGTCCATGGGTCCAGTTGGCAGTCAACCCAATATAGTGGTCGCTATGGAAGTGGCTCAGGAAGTAGGCGTTGCACCCCTTGACCGCACCATACCTGAATGCATCCACACAAATGTAGAATCCGGGCATGATTTTGTAGAACGGACAGGTGCGTTGATATGCGGGTTTGCCGCGCGCAGAGTGCTCTGCCGCAGCAGCTCCTGCCCAAGCCGCATCTTCCGCATGGCCCGACATCAACTTTGTGAATGCGGATTTGGGCTTGTTGTCAGTCTCCCCGATGTTGAAGGGATTGGCTTGGCCAGCTCGCGGAACGGCCGCGCGGGCAAAGCGCTTATTGACTTCTGGCGGGTCGAGAATCGGGGGTTTCGCTACTTGGTCTTTCTTGGCTGGCTTAGGCTGAGGGAGGGGTATCGGATTGCCGTCGAGGCAGGCGTTGACGTGTCGTGTTGCTTCTGCGGGCGTAATTCCTGCAAGGCTCCCGTCGCATATTGGGCAGTTGGCCACCATGGCGTCGCTTGATCGAACAGGGTCGGGAATGTCATCACCAGAATGGTCGCCATCTTCTACAGCTTCTGCTTCGGCTTCCAGCCTGGCTTGCTCCTGCATAAACTGCATCATTCGATATTCTTCGCCTCCAAAGTCTTCGTCGTCGGGGAAGTCGTCTAGGTCACCAAACTCGTCAACATTTGCAAATTCATTGTCGATCGAGTCCTCAACCTTCAGTGGCGGCGGGGGGCAGCTCGTCTCCTTCGCGGGTGGCGTCGCATCCTTCTCTTCCATTTTGATGGGGGCCGTAATGGGCACCGTGTTACGAATTGCGCTGAGAAAAAGTGGCTTCTTGGAAGTATCGTCTGCATCCTCTCCCTCTTCGCTGTCAGATTCGTCCAAAAAAGGGCCCTTGCGCTTTCCTGGCGCCTTCTTGGTTGGCTTTGCCTCTGTAGGTGACGATGGTGCGGGTTCGGAGGCGACGGGACTCTTGGATGCTTTTGGACTCGATCGCTCTGTCTCTTTTTGGTTTTCTTCTTGACTCAACCTTCTCTTCTTGACCGAGGACTCTACCTCGTTGAATCTATCCTCCTCCCATGGCTCGGCGTCGTAGATGTTTGGCTCATCGTCGTCGTCGGCGGCTTGGACCACTAGCTTCTCTTGACCATCCAGAAAAAGGGTCTGCTCAGGCTTTTCGGCCTTTTGAAAGAAGCTAAGGATGCTGGCATTTGGCCTCGCAGGCTTTTTCGAAGGCGGAACCTTGGTGAAGTTCTTCTTCGGAGTGGCGGTAGGCCGCTTTCGAGCTGCCGACGACGGTGGGCCCATCTTGCCACTTTTGTTGGAAAGTAGGTTTGCTGCTCGGATGCTCTTCAAGGCAATTTCATGTGCTCAGTCGAGGTTGCTTGACCTGCTCTTAGAGGAGCGACGACGTTGTTAGGGACTGGCAACTGCCAAGGGTTCGGTGTTGAATCGTAAGAATATTGAGGTCAATGGTATCAAAAAGTTGATGACGCGCCCAAGTCGCGGGGTCCTCGCGCTGCGCTGGGGTACAGGGCGCGCAGTCTCGTGCTTGGGCACTGTAGGTGAGCAATTAACACCCTTGCCCCCCAAAATTTAAGTGGACCAGTCCGCGCTCATTCCTTATGCATCCACTTAAACACGCCCAATAACCTCCTCAATCATCATTCTCATGTGTACTCATAACTAGGTCTTGAACGTAGGTCAAGACATTAGATGCACGTCGCTTCAAGATACCGAGGACACTATGTTCCGAAGCTTGTGTAATAAGCATGAGTATCTGCGGAAGACCCCAAAGAAATGGAATCGACTCGCTGGGACAACGCCTAGACTGACCACCATTCTCCAATACTTCTGTCGCAACATTACGGACATGACGACAACATTCCCATACTGCACATTGCTATGACCATTGCTGTCTGGTTAGACGGTTCCTCCAAAGGTTTCAAGTCCTACGTTGAATCGCCTTGTCATGTACTCTTCAATTGAGATCCTACGTGCGTGACTGACCGCGATCTCACATTTGCATCGTTTCATCGGCTCAGAAAAGGGTTCCACCTCGAACCCGGGTAGTAAAACGACATAAACCGTGGAGGCAACCATTCACAAGGCTGACTTTGTGTGACAGTGAATTTTGAATGTAACATGCGTGGAGCTATCGTACCAACTCGAAGAAGCCGTCAGCAGCTCAACCTTCACAAGAGACACGATACAGACACATGAGCAGCTATGTGTCGACTGCAATGATAAGGATACATGATACTTCCGTTCTTAGGCTCACACTGGCCGGTCAGAGTCTGACATGCCACTTGACAAGGCTAGATCGGGCTGCATATACTGCTGGTTCCATTGTACATTATGATATACACTGTCTGCGCTCTCCATTCCCATATGCCATTGCTTCATTAGTCCCATACGCGCCGAGCGTTGTTCTCCCCAATCTAGGTATGTCTAACAATGCTCTACTCCGCATCCTCTAGGGTCCACACACTCACGCCGGCCCTCTCGACATTTGCCTTGAGCTTGTTCAAGACGGCCTGTCTCTTGGCCCGTTTCGCCATCAGTTCTGACTTCTCATCTTGGCTGAAGCCAGACAGCTTCTTGCGGGGAGGCGTGCCACGGACGCCGTATGAAGCGACCGAGGATACAAGGGAGTTGCGGAGAGTGCCGGGTGACGCCGTGGCCATACGCTCGGGGGAGAAAATTAGCGACCTGCTGTTCCTCTGAGGGGTGGCCATCGGAGAGCCCTCGCGGCTGTTAACCGACGAGAAGCGCAGCTTCCGCATCTGGTTCTCGAGAACGTCAATGTCGCCAGATCGCTTCTCGACCATGCTGGTCATCTTGTTGATGGTGCGCATGACGGCCTCGACGGTGGGGACATTGGAGTTGCCCTTGCCAGACGCACTGCTTACTGATGCGAGCTTGGTCTTGAGAAGCGTCAAGGCTTCCTCCACCTCGGCGAGGAGTTTGGAGAAGTTGGCATACTCACGACGCAACTCGTTCTGCTGAGCAGCTTGTTCGGCGCTCAAAGCTAAGGAGCGGCTGATGTCGGCCTGGTCGGGATCGAGTCTGACCATCATAATCTTCTTGAGGTCGTCCTGCTTCGACCGCAGGCGGGACATCTCACGCGCAAGTTCGTTGCAAGCCTCCAGCTTCTCTTCTACGTCTTGAACACGGCCATATTCTAGGTCCCGGGCGAGAGATCTGTCGATGACCTCGCCGAGCTCGTCGATCTCAGACAAGACCCAGTCTTCGGGGTTTTCAAGGTCTTCCTTGCGGCGACCACCCTGCTTGAAGCCAACATCGTGTCCTACGATGAAGCTTGCCAACGATCGGGCGTTCAGACCAAGAGTGTCAATCATGGAGTTGATGTCACGGTAGACGGCTTCGACTTGCGCGGGGATGGTTTCCTTTGCTGACGGTACCACATTGGAGTGCGCGATGAAGTCGTCCAGCTTGAGACTGGGCTCGATCTTGGATGCAAGAATCTTCTGAATCTCATCGTCCTCCTCGTCCTCCAAAGTTCGCGTCTCCTCAGCTTGTCTCCTCTGGCGCGCCAACCTCTGCTGCGCAACGAACGGGTCCTCCATTGTAGTCTTAGAACCGACTATGGACATACCCATCTGGGAGGGCTGCTTTCTCTGGGCGCCGAGAATTTGAGAAGCCATACCAGGGGCACTAACCGAGCGAGCTGACTCTTGGCGCAGGCGTCCTGGAATAGCGGCCCTAACAGGGCTGGGGGATCGTGGGCTCGTTTGCGAAGGACGAGGGAGTGTGGGCACATTGTTGCCGAATAGCGAATGTCGTGGTCTCTCTTCCTCTGTGCGCGGAATTGAGTAAGTGCTACTGCTAACACCACCGAAAGAGCTTTGAGGAGTCAGACCTGCATTGGGAGTCATGGCCACAATGGACGGACTAAGATCCTTTGCGACGTCGACTCCACTACCCTCGGACCCTTCTTCGTCCTCCTCCAGATCGCTGTCGTGGTCGCTATCCGGGACAGTTGGGATGGCCGGGAGGTCGTTCGTCTTTGGTTTGGTGATAAAATCGGGTGGCAGGGGAGCGTCTTCTGGCTCCTTAGCGGGCGTCTCACTGACGGGCGTGGATGACCAGGTTGCTTGTGTGAGAGACTGCTTGGGCATCTTGAGGAAGTCGGGGGCAGCCGCTGGCGCCGTCTGCTTCGGCTTCTCCTCCGCGGGCAATGGCAGTGCTGTCGGAGGTGTAGTCGATGGCACAGCCTTACTAGGTTTGGGGGTGATGAAGTCAGGGGGCAATGGTGCGTCATCTGATGACTTCGTCGACTGCTTAGGCTTAAGGAAATCGGGAGGAAGCGGGTCATCGACAGCCTTTGTCTGAGATGCTTTTGGCGTCGTGAGGAAGTCAGGGGGAAGAGGAGCATCGCCTGCCTTCGGGGAAGCCTTACTTGCCCCGCCTGAGGAAGAAGACGACTCTCCCAGAGGATACTCAACCCTGCTCGTTGAGTCGGGAGGCAAGGGAGCATCCGTGAGAGTCTTACTCTGGGGCTCCAGCTTGAAGCCTGACGACGAGGACTTTGGCGAGGGCTTGGAAAACAGACTTCGGCCATTTTGCGGCGCAGTCCCGAGTCCGAACAGTCCCTTGTTAGGAGCAGGTGTCTCCTTGGGTGTCGTGGAGGGCAAATCGAAAACTGATTTAGGCTTGGGTGTCTCTTCCGTTGTGTCCATGCTCTGCTCCTTAGTAGGTGTTGTCTGCTTAGCATCTCCAAGGGCCGAGCTGAAGCCGCCGCCGAAGAACGAGGATCCGCCACTGGTAGCAGGCTTTTCGTCATCGTCATCGTCCTTTGCAGAAGGATCGGGCTTGAAACTGCTTTCCAACTTGAAGGGCTGACCGGCGAAAGGATTGACTCCAGCACCACTGCTGGGCTTCTGGCTGGGCGGTGGAAACGCAGTATCTTTGGTGGATGAGAAAGGAGACTGGCCCGAACCAAAAGGGCTTGAGGAGGGTTTGCTTCCAAACACGCTGCCGCCTTCGTTGGCGTTCTTGTTACCAAGCGAACCAAAGCCGCCAGACGATGCAAACCCTGCGAAACCACCCCCTGACGAAGGAGTAGCCGCGGCTGTCGGTGTCGAGCCGCTACCAAAGACACTCTTGTTTCCAGAGCCGAAGGTGCTAGGCTGTCCGAATGTCGACCCTGTAGTGGCTGAGCTTGAACCTGCAGCTGCCCAGGGAGACTTATTTCCACCAAGAGCCGAGGACTGCCCGAAAGATGAAGGCTGACCGAAAGCTGGGCTAGAGGTAGCGGCAGCAGGAGTCTTGTTTCCACCGAGGGACGAGGACTGTCCAAAAGATGAAGGCTGACCAAAAGCTGGGCTAGAGGTAGCCGCAGCAGGAGTACTGCCCAAGGCGCTGCCACTGCCGAATGCACCGCCGCTCCCGAACGCCGACTTAGGAGTGGAAGTTTGGCCGAAAGGCGAAGCAGCAGATGTGTTGCCACCAAACGCGGTGCTTCCAAACGTTGATCCTGTTGACGATGCGCCGGTCGCAGAACCCAAGGCATTTGATGTGCCCCATGGTGAACTCTTGGCTCCTAGCGCAGAGCTGCCGCCAAATGCAGGGGTGGATCCGCCGCTGCCGAAAGGGTTTGCCGGTTTTTGGCCACCGCCCAAAGCAGAGGGGGCACCGAATGCCGGCGTCGAGCTCGCAGAAGAGCCGAACGCTGATGGCTGAGAGGGTGCACCGAAAGGTGACGCAGCTGCTGGAGCGGCTGGAGCTGCTGCAGGCGCCGAGGGTGTAGGAGCAGGCGCTGGAGCAGACGTGTCAAGCACAGCCATGCCAGGGTAAGTTGTGCCTCCTCTGATGGAGTCCTCGTACACGATCCACCATGAGCTCAGAACACCCTCATGGTTCAAGACCCAGAAGCCGGGCAGTGGGCCCGGTGAGTCCTCAAGCTCCTCGTCCGCAGGCAGAGGCTTGTAGACCTTCTCTTTGCTCGACAAGTCGAGAGCAACGCCAATCGGGACTGTGTTCTGGAAGTCTTCCGTCATAGGGAGAGACGCACGCTTGGAGTCGTCGAGAAGCTCTGTTGTTGTGAAAACATTGGAGATACTGTCTGCTGGCTTATCCGGAGACAGCGGCGTCTTTGATCTGCTGAGAAGGCCGATATCAGGGGATGCTGTGGACGCGACAATCAACAGATCCGTAAGGTTAGGAGGGAAGTCTTTCAGTCGTAATATTGAGTGATGAGGAGTGTTCTCTGCGCCAAAGGGGTCGACGGGGTCTGTGAGCTTCTGAAATGTGAAGTCTGACGGGAGCTTTCTGGTGATTATGTGGTATACTGATGTCGGGGGAGATTCTTTTGTTGAGGTATGGATGGCCAGGAAGAGGTGATTTTCCAGCCAACTCAGAGAAGACACTGAATGCAGATGATCAGTTCGCGTTCCCAACGAAATTCGCATCACAAAAACCTACCGTGAGCGTTCTCTACGCCGGGCGGTCGTGGGATTTGCCCCTTTTCCTCGCCCTCGGGGGTCATTTGAAAGATAGTACCATCCGCCAAGCCTGCGACAAGCTGCTTTCCTTTGGTACTCCAGCTTAAGCAGCTGACTTGCGCCTTCAGAACATTGCTGATATTCCTATCCTTCAAGTTCGCCATGTGCAAGTTCCCGTTATTCGTCACAATGGCAACCAGTTCTGCCTTCTCGATCGTAGGGTTCGGTACCAGCGCCCTCAGTGTCTCCCCGTTCGTTGCAAGCTCGAAGGCCGCCTGAGTACCGCCGTTGAGCAGGCTCTGGGTCTCATAGACGGCCAGACCGCCGCCACTTTCGGCAGACAGAATCAGGTAGTTCTCGTCGGCGCTGAAAGCGAGCTGCGACACCCTCATGGGCATAGGCAGCTTGACCTGGGGCTGGAAGGCGCGGACATCGGAGCTGTCGCTCTCCTTAGAATCGGCTTCGAAACCTTTGCGCACAGATTCGGTCGAGGCGATCGTGATCCCATCGGGGCCGGCGGCGGCGACGAGTCCCCGGCGGGGAGCGATGCTCAGGAGGGAGGCCGTGTCGGCGGGTGCAGGGGACCATGCGGACGTCAGCCGGAGCTTCGCGTCTCCGGCAATCGATTTGAAACCAAGCGCCTGGACAATAGTTTTAGTTGGTGAGCTTTGAACGTGTGATAGACAACGGCATCGACGGTGTCGGTGACCAGATCTCACCTCGGTCTGGATCACCTCCAGCTCGGGGCCTTGATTCAGTCCTCCGCCTCCAGCCGTGCTTCCAAGCATGGCGTTTCCTTGGTTCGAGAAGCCGAAAGCCATGATGGAATGCTGAGCAACCGGCTCGTTGGAGGAGGGACTTGTTGGGTCAGCTGGGGGTGGTTCTTTGCATTCGTTGGAGGGGCCGCGTTGTTGATATACGGGAAGTTTTTTCTTTTTTTTTTCCCCCGTTCGTCGCAAGCAGCTGGGTGCGGTTGCTACAGTCGCAACCAGTGAGTATTGCGCAGGGACGTTGTCGACTCTAGAAAAGACTGCTGAGCGCCAAAATGCCGATAAAAAGGAGATTGGTTTAGTTTCACACGTTAAAACGCGAAAGAATTGGCCTTAAGGCAGAAGAGTGATGCCTTCTAGATGTTGCACCGTCTGATTGCCTGGTCTCTGGCGACGGGACAGACTGCTGCTGCTCCCAAAAATTCGTATGGAGCTCCTGCTTGCTTGCTACTGGGCCCGTCCGTCACCCCGGTCGCATTGACTAGGTAGATCACGTGAAGCTTAGGCAGCTTCATGGGGCGTCCCTGGCCAATCAGCACTGGCATCTGTCGGTGTCAGGGTGCCTCCCGCTGCATGAGCTCTCCCCAAACAGCGGGCGACACCATTGAAGGCAGCTTTTAGCCTCGTCATCAGCTCCTGCCTTCACCACGTCCCTCAACATCTCCACGCCCAGCGGAACCTCTGCCAACCTCATACCATCCACCACGACCGAACGATCACGAAGTTTCCCACAACCCCGACGACCGAGAAAGAACAATCACAGCGTCCGGGTCTAGCCAGCCAAGTCAGCAACCATGCCTGGCTTCGATTTCTCCAACTACAACCGCAATGCGGCCCTCCACGCCCGAGGTGTCCCCCTGCCCAAGGCGACTAGCACAGGTACCACCATCGTGGGATGCATATTCGACGGCGGAGTAGTGGTTAGTATTCCCAAACACTAGATTCCCCTCCATCAGCTAGTAGCATGGATCCAGTCACTGGACTCGCCCCCGCGTACCGCCCTTTCGTACCACAAGCTCGTACTAACTATCCATTCAGATTGCGGCCGATACAAGAGCGACGTCGGGTCCCATCGTAGCGGACAAGAACTGTGAAAAGTTGCATTACATCGCCCCCCAGATCTGGTGCGCGGGTGCCGGAACCGCTGCCGATACCGAGTTCACCACCGCAATCATTTCCTCCAACCTCGAGCTCCACGCCCTCTCGACAGGCCGCAAGCCCCGCGTCGTCACCTGCATGACCATGCTCAAGCAGCACCTCTTCCAGTACCAGGGCCACATCGGCGCCTACCTCGTCGTCGCCGGCGTCGACCCCACGGGAACCCACCTGTTCACCGTCCACGCCCACGGCTCCACCGACAAGCTCCCCTACGTCACCATGGGCTCCGGCTCCCTCGCCGCCATGTCCGTCTTCGAGACCCAGTGGAAGCCCCAGCTGAACGAGGAGGAGGCTGTTAAGCTTGCCAGCGATGCTATTCAGGCCGGTATCTTCAACGATCTGGGTTCCGGAAGCAACGTCGACGTCGCCGTCATCACAAAGGACAAGACCACGCTCAAGCGCGGCTTCGTCAAGCCCAACGAGCGTACTGCCAAGCTCAAGAGCTACGCCTTCAAGCAGGGCACGACCGCCGTCCTCAACGAGAAGATTATCAAGAAGAACGAGATTGGCCGTTATGTGAGCGTAACGGAGGTGCCGGCTGGCGAGGCGATGGAGGTCGATGCATGAGCGGGCTGACGGGTTTATGAGGATACGGGCTTGCGAGAGGCTGGCTAATGAAAATGCTCCCTAGACGAGGAGTTGATGTACCAACACAATGGACAATGGCAATAGAAGACATTGACACTGATGAAGCCAAAAACGCATGTGAGTGATTAAGTTGACTCGGGTAGGGGCCCTGTAGCAACCAATAATCGTAGTAAAGCAGTCTGATACCAGCAATCACCAAGACATCAGTATGGAGGCATGTGGCACCAAGGTGTAGATCCAGGAATCAGTTGTGGAAGGCTTTTTCCCATTCGCCTTGCGACTGCCATTATGCAGGCAAAGCCCTTTTTGTGTAACAAAGGAAAACTTCTGAGGAGGATTTTATGGCCCTCCCCTCAAAGCAAATGTGGTATATACATAGGAACCAAGGGTATGTTCAATCAAGGTCTGTACACGCTAAACGATCCCTCACTTTTTCCACCTCCCGTGGCACGGAGCAGAGGGCTGGTCCATTGTTGCATGGGTATTAGGACAACCTCGTCCTCCCCCTGCTCCCGTGTAGCGTACCTTGCTGAATGCAGAAAATGGCACAATTCCCATCCATGAATTTGAAATGCCCAGAAAAAACAGCTGCACTCCGTAGAGCCAGCTTCCCAAAACTCCGAAGATGCGGGGTATGAAGGTGATGTGGTGATGCAGTGGTCATGATCCGTGAAATGCCGCCAGAAGCCATGCGCGCGCAGAAAGAACTCCTAAAAGACTCGTAGCTAGCCAGTCTTGATGCCAAACATGGTGCGCGTCCTGGACTTGCTGCGGGACTTCTTTCCGTTGCTGTCATCGTCATTGTACTTTGACTTGTGGATCCTGCGAGGTTTCATGTCAGCACTGCGGCTTCCTGGGTGCTTTCATTGTGAGGCAATACGTACCAGCTGTTGCCGACCATGTTCATTCCCTTGGCTTCAGCTTGTCTGTAGAAACCAGCAGCCTTCTTAAGGTTCTTCTTGCATCCGATGCCTTGGGCGTAGCAGAATCCTGCCTCAGCCAATGCATCAACATCACCCCAAGCTAGTGTTCTGTCAGTGAGAGGTCTTAGAGATGAAATTCTTTGGCAACTTACATCCAGCGATCTCAAAGCAACGCAGGGCAAGAGCCTTATCCTGCTCAATACCCCATCCATTCATATGGCTCACACCGAGCTCATAGATGCTGAGTGCGAATTGTGCCTTACGCGTCCTTCTCTCTGTGGCATCCACAAACTTGCCCTCCTTGACGTGGTCTTCATCATCGGCAATTTCAACACTGGCACCCTCAGCTGCCTTTCTCAACCACTCAACACCCTCACGCTGGTTGGGCCGCATGCCCCAGCCGTGGCGGCAAGCCAGCGCATATAGAAGCATGCCAGTAGCGTTTCCGCCCTTGGCAGCATGGCGAAGGTGGTAAGTAGACTCCTTGACGGAGCCATTCTCGTGGCACTCGATACCCTTGGCTAGGTGCTCTTCGGCTGTCATTTCCGAAGTGGTAGGTGCACCCGAAGCCAGAGATCGAGCGCCCTTAATAGTACTGCTGGAATCGGTGGTTGCCATAGACATGGCAGTCTGACCACGGGCGGCATCGTGGACAGGAGATGTGAGAGCGCGGCCTCTCGGGTCATCTTCTGATGGTCGGCTCTCGGTAGATGGGCGGCTCGGGTTGGGGGACGGCTGCGGCGCAGGGCCACCACGGTTCATGCCATTCTTCGTCAAGTTGAGATCGCCAGGAGCACCTACCTCCGCAGAACTGGACGGCCGTGTCGGAGGTGAGGGGGGCGCTCCATGAGCGATCGTCGAGACGTTGCTGGGCTGAGTCATGGGCTGTTCCCACTGGAAAGAGGCCTGTGGGTGAGGATCGAGAGGAACCGACCGTTGAATCATCTTGCCTCTAGGAAGTGAATACTTAGAATAAATGTATGAGGGGGCCGCCTTTCCGTCGTCATGCATGGGATCCGGGAAACCTTCACTGTTCATGCTGACAGGAGTGTTGGCTGAATCGTCATTTGCAAATACAAAGGATGGCTGGCTGTCTGATGAGGCTTGGCGCGTTGGTGTTTCCAGTCCTGGAGTGCCTGCGCGACTCATCGGCCTTGAGAAGTTGAAAGAAGGTCGCGGCAGTGGCATAGAAGCTTCCGAGCTGACGGATGGGGAACGTTGGAAAGGTCCAGGGTTAAGGTTCGGGGACGCGGCCGATACGAAAGCGCTGCCACTCGACAGCTTGCGTGGAGGAAGAGACTGAATGGAGTTGCTCATTGAGGTGTCGTCGGTAGCGTTGTCGAGAGGCGAGGACATGGAGCTGGCTGATCGCGCAATGAAGTTGGGTCTTGGGGGGGCCAAACCGGGACCATCGAAAGAATGAGCCTTTGACTTCTCAGGAGATGTCCCAAGTGAGTTATCGCGGGAGCGTGCTGGAGAACGCATAGGTACTGCTGGTGGTGAGGCATGAAGGAGGGAGTCGCTGATCGGGTGCTCCATAGGCGCTGGTGACTGTTCTCTCCTGGCGCCGAAGGTTGTCTCATCGTGGTCCTCTCCTACAGATTCCATAGGACGTCCACGCATCGTGTCAAGCTGAGGCTGGGGAGGAAGGGGAACGTTCTCGTCGGGAGTAGGCGGGATTCGGCTCATTCGTGGATGCACTGATCTCGGGCGGTCCTTCTCTGAGGGGAAAGCGTCCTCCATCTCGGTTCTCATGCCAAACCCAGGGTTCTGAAGCTCGGGAAGCGCCACTTCATCGGAGCCAGAGTCGTTGGACATGGAGCGGAAGTAGTCAGATCGGCCTTGGACAACCAGAGGGCTCTCGGTCGTCAAAGGCGGGAGTCGGCTCATTCGTCGTCCGTCGCCGTTGGCCGCAGCTTGGAGCTGCCTCGCCAAAAGGCGACTCTGGAGGGCGAAGGCATCGAGAGGCGACAATTCGGGAGGCGCCTCACCTGCAACGTGAAGTCTGGGGGATCGCAGCGGTCTCGATACGTTCGACATACTGGATGGCGCCCGAAGGTCGAGGAAGTTGGGGCGTTGAGGCGACATGGTCGGTCGCGTATGCGTCGCTTCCTGCTCTGAAGACGCCATGCAAGGCGATGTGGTTGCTACACAGCTGGTGGTGGATTGATTTGAGGAAGTCGACGCCAGATCGGGGGGTTCGCTGGGAGAGGTTGGTGGTTGGAATCCTGGCGGTGCAAGTCTTGTCTCGGGGGAAGGATCGAGTATGGCGTCAGTCTAGACTGGAAGAGGATTCCGGCATGGAGGTCGAATAACAGGTCGTTGGCCAGATGGTGGTGTGGCTGACGGGAATGCTACGGGCGGCGCATGAACGATGAGGTC